CTACGTTTTTCCCCCACCCACTTGAACACTAACCCTCTGTTGTAGCAGGGGAAAAGTGTTTACTAATCTAAAAGTTTGTTTCAGATGACATATGTGTGATGTAATGACTGATAGTCATTAGTGTTCTAGAAAGGCACTTGGCTAATTTTTCTCTTCTGCAAAACAGAGGTTGTATTAGGCATAATTTTAAACAGAGATCCTGTGGTTTGGAGTTTGCTCTTTGTTACTTTTTCTGTACTTAAAACTTCCTTCCACTTTGTTTATTTGTATTATATTGATGTTAAAAATCATTTTAAGTCACGCAGAAGTCTAAGGGTTTTTTGGTCCGTGACTTTCTAAATGAGTGTGATTTTGGCTGATAACACAAAGGAGTATGTGATGAAACATTCGGGCCTACTTTCCTCTTTGCCATTGGCAAGTAAAAACAATATGCTGATAGACTGAGAAGGAGGTATCAGGGATACAGTGATGTTGCTGCATTTGTTTTCTTTTGTAACTACTTAAGAGGTAAGAAAAAGTTCTTTCTCTTATGAAGGGGGTAGGATAAACAAGTGAGGAAGGGACACAGAAATTTATAGCCATATGTTTGGGGATAAATGGAAGTGGTAAATTATAAAATGGGGTTTGTATGTTTTTACCCCATAATTCTACTCTTGGCTATTTACCTAAGAAAATAGTTCACAAAGGAAAATCATATATCCATCAGTTTGGTCATTTATAACATGAATCACTATAAATCAGCTTTTCCATGGTTAGAAAATGACTTGGTTTATTTTAGTGCTACCATTTGATATGACCTCTTTTCATATCATTATTTCATTTCATTATTTAAAAAACTAGAGTAATATAAACATTTAAAATAATTGAAAAAAGCAGATTAGTATGTAGTAATCTTCAAATAATGAAATCGAAGTATCTATAGTAGGTGAGTGTGCAAAGAAAGATTTGGAAGGAATATAAAATATTGAAAATGGTGTGCATTTGTTTTAGATGATTTTAAATTCTTTTTTTTTTTTTTTTTTTTACAAATAGTTTATTGTCAAATTAGTTTCTACATAACACTCAGTGCTCATCCCCAAAGTGCCCTCCTCCATGCCCATCCTCCCCTCCCCCCCACATCCATCAGTCCTCAGTTTTTGTCAGCATTCAAGAGTCTCTCATGGTTTGCCTCTCTCCCTTTCCCCCACCATTTCCGCCCTTCTTCTCCCGCTTGTTCCTCCGTCAAGTTCCTCCTAAGCCTCCTATACGTGCAAACATATGATATTTGTCCTTCTCTGCCTGACTTATTTCGCTCAGCATAACACCCTCAAGGTCCATCCATGTTGCTACACATGGCCAGATTTCATTGTTTCTCATTGCCATGTAGTATTCCATGGTATAGATAAACCACATCTTCTTGATCCATTCATCTGTTGATGGACACTTAGGCTCTTTCCATGTTTTAGCTATTGTGGAGAGTGCTGCTATGAACATTGGGGTACATGTGCTCCTATGCCTCAGCATTTCTGTATCCCTTGGGTAAATTCCTAGCAGTGCTATTGCTGGGTCATAAGGGAGTTCTATTGTTAGTTTCCTGAGGAACCTCCACACTGTTTTCCAGAGGGGCTGTACCAGTTTACATTCCCACCAACAGTGTAGGAGGGTGCCCGTTTCTCCACATCCTCGCCAGCATCTAGAGTTCTCTGATTTGCTCATTTTAGCCACTCTGACTGGCGTGAGGTGGTAAGATGATTTTAAATTCTTAAGCAATTTCCTTTAATATTCTGATCACAATTTAATAAGCCTGAAAATAATTTTTCACAATATGTGAAAGTACTTAACACTATTGAACTATATACCTAAAAAAGGATGATACATTTTATGTTCCTTGTATTTTACCACAACTTTTAAAAATAAAAGCTTTTTAAAAAATAAGATGTGATCACAAACTCCTGGTCTTCATTGGTATTTTTTGAAGGAAGTATTTTCTCTCCCCTGTATACCCTATAAACCCATTTCTCTATTTTCTGAATGTGTAGAACTTCAGATTATTGTTCTGTACATAAGTTAGTTTATTCCTGTTCACTCAAAAGGGAGCAATTAGATAACCGAATGGTATGCTTGAATGAATACATGAATAAGGGTGACGGTTGTCTTATTCTGTCTGACTCTAACCTCACTAGTCCCTCAGTGAGAGTAGAGAAGTGTACAAAAAGCTCTTCTAAAATTATGTAAATTTTTATTCATCTAGGTCAGAGTGTAATCTAGAATATAATCTCGAGAGTGTGTTTGTTATAAGTTTATCACTAATGTATTTAGTATATATGTGTGGCTAAAAAGCCTACTCCAACAAAAATATACTTCAAGTCACCAATATAAGCCATGTATGTAATTTTAAGTTTTCTTGCAGGCACATTTAAAAAAGCAAGATGAGAGGCACCTGGGTGGCTCAGTTGATTAAGTGTCTGACTTCGGCGCAGGTCATGATCTCACGGTTTGTGGGTTCGAGCCTCACGTCGGGCTCTGTGCTGACAGCCAGCTCAGAGCCTGGAGCCTGTTTCAGATTCTGTGTCTCCCTCTCTCTCTGACCCTCCCGTGCTCACTCTGTCTCTCTCTGTCTCAGAAATAAATAAATATTTAAAAACAATAAAAAAGCAAGATGAAACAAGTGAAATTAATCTTTTTAAAAGTTAAAAAAAATGTTTATTTTTGAGAGAGAGGGAGACAGTGTGAGTGGGGAGGGTCAGCGAGGGGGAGACACAAAATCCAAAGCAGGCTCCAGGCTCTGAGCTGTTAGCACAGAGCCTGATATGGGGCTCGAACTCGCAGACCATAAGGTCATGACCTAAGGTGAAGTTGATGCTTAACTGTCTGAGCCACCCAGGCGCCCCTACAAGTGAAATTAATCTTGATAATGTATTTTATTTAACACAGTATCTAAAATATTATCATTTCAACATGTACTCAAATCAAAATTATTGAGATAGTTTGTATTTTTTTTATAGTAAATCTTCAGTACATGATTTATTTTATATTGGAACACATATCAAGCTCTGAATAGCCATTAGTGGCCACTGGCTACCTTAGCAGGCATTACAGTTCTAGATCATTGTCAACTCATTATTTTATGCTGTTTCTTGTACTCTTTTCTTATTTCTTTTTTTACTTTAATCCTTTTAAATTCTAGTTCATGTTAAGACTATTACTAATGCAGTTATTTTCACTCACTAGATGTGAATATCAGGCAGCGGGAAGCACTCTTAGATGGTTAGGGGACTACCAGGAACATTTGCTCACATAAACCACGCCTTCAGGTATTATTAAAAAAAAAAAAAAAGCATCGAGTTTTGTGTCAATAGACTTGGGCCCTAGTTTCAGCTTTCTGGCTCCTTCCCTTTCATCTTTGGACCTCTGAGAACCTGTCTGAGCAGCATCCATCATGGTGCTTATCTTCTACTAAAATTTCTAATAAATACTAATTATATTTGCATAATGGTTAGGGCAAGGGATTTAGAATCCTAAGTTTTCATCAATTAACAATTTTGGAAACAAATGGGCCCTCAGGGTCATTTAGTGCCAGCCTAGGGTGTGTTTTTGGCCAGTGAGCATTTGTTTGGTGGACGCTAATGATAGTGATCTGAGTAACAGAACTTTTTGAAACTGAATTGGTTTTCAAACAAGATATACAAGTGCAAAGGAGTGCATTGGAGTTATGCTTTCCTGGATTTACGTATATAACTCTAATTGATGTTAATGGGGGTTGTACATAAATCAAGGGGAAAACAGACCTATTAGTATATAAAAACATTCTACTTTTAATATCCATCTGGTATGCTTTACTTTCCTGAAGCATATGTGTTTTTTATAAACTGAGTGCATACTTCTTTATCTGCACTCTCTTCAATCAGTATTTGTGCTTTCTGCTTGCTAGTGTTAGTTTGAATACCTACTCAGATTGCAAACTCAATATGAATATTTTATTTCTGCAAATTTTTCAGATTCAGAAATTTGATTACCTGTCTGATATAAGATAGTCTGAACCAACATCTAATCAGAGGTACCCTCTTTTGCTAAAATTTCTATTTGTTGTTTGATCTTTTAAAAAAATTAGTCCTTTGAGATACATTCAGATACAAGATGTTTCTAATATTACAATAAAACTATTAATGAACCCATTATAAGGAAATGAAAATCTTATCTTTTTGTGTCAGTGATGAGAGAGAAATATATAACTGTAATTATCTGTAATTTTATGAGTTTTCTTTCATTTACATTATCTATTTTCCTGTTTAAGCCTATCTAGCACAATTATTCCTTTTGTATTAGTTTTCTGTAAATGGAGTCTGAATGGTTTGAATTGTGAATTAACAATAATCACCATCCTTGCATCCCTCCTTTTTACCTTCCTTCCCTTCCTCCACTTTCTCTCTTTTTCTCAGTGAGGGAAAACAAAGTCAGAGAGATAATTTTATCTTAACAAAAGAAAAAGATATATGATCTTTATAGGATTACCTATGAACAGCTAAGTAGTTATATCACTACTGATATGTCTATCCTTGTGTATTAATATACAGAAGTCTAACAGCGCTGAGTGTTGTTTGAAAGTACCAAAAATAACCAAAAGTAAATTGAGGTGATATATATTTAAAAAGATACTTAAATTTTTTTTGAAGTTTATTATTTTGAGAGAGAGAGAAAGAGAGAAGGAAAGCTGGGGAAGGGCTGAGAGGAGAGACAGAATCCCAGGAAGGCTCTGTACCATTAGTGCAGAGCCCGATGTGGGGCTTGAACTCAGGAACCTTGAGATCATGACTTGAGCCCAGATCAAGTTGGAGGCTTAACTGACTGTGCCATCCAGGCACCCCTAAAGAGATATTTTTGTGAGACTTAGCTATATATTCAAGAACAAGGAAGTAATAGGTAAAAATGATTTAATTTAAAGAAATGAATTTTGAACATTGGAGTTTATTTTCATTTTTTCAAGTTCTAAAAAGGCTTTATTAAATACAGATGGGAGGGGTTCAGTCCTTCTTGGCTGCTGCTTTCCTCATGGCTGCCAGGACATTGCTCAGTACCTCTCTCTTCCTCTTGGTACTGTTGTGTGTCCCTCCCCTTTTCTTGATGAACTTGAGGGTATGCTTGACCTAGGAGACCTTGAGCAACTCCAGGGCTCACCACTCAGTTCTATGGGGCGAAGCTGTGTGCTGCACCTCTCGGATCATGTTCTGCATGAACTTGGTGTGCTTGGTGAGATGCCCATAGTGGTGGCTGTGTCTTAGCTCGTTCTTGTTCTTGATCACCTTGTGGCCCTTGTTGAGGCCCATGGTGATAGGGTAGCACAGAGCCATGGCTGCTGCTCCTCTATGGCTTCCTCGGCAGAAGGAAAATTAGATTCCTTCTAATGGATTCAAATATATTGTCACTGTACCTGGGAATCATTAGTAGAATGTTGTGCTGTAAAATCAGCAGATATTTATTTTCACTATTTTCCCTGATAGACCACCCTATATTATTGTTATTTTTAAATTTCCTTTTATATGATTTCTAAATCTCTCATAGCAAGATATTAGATTCAGGGAAATCCAACCATCCCTCCCATCCAAATATTGATTCTCTGCCTCCTTCTGTCCCTGTATAGTATTGGCATCTATCCAGCACTTAATATGCTTGGTCAGTTGATTCCCCAGTTGGAATGATGGCCTCAGAGGCCATATTGTTGGAGACATTTTTCCCATGAAAGTGATAGATTTTCTTGGGCCATCTCCCTCTGTCTTTTATCCCACCTTTGTGATTCAAGGTAAAGGTGTGTAAGAGGATTAGCTCTTGCTAGTAAGGCCATGGTCTCAAGAAAGCTCATAGGTCCAGGTCTTTATGATCTAACATATCAACTTCTTAACTGACGCATTATATAAGGTGAATCTCCCGAATGTAATTATCTGTATTTTTTATTTGTTTTTGCCTTATCCCATTCTGAGACCTTCAGAGGATCTCCTTTGTCTATCAGGTTGAGCCTTCTTACTCTGGCATTCAGAGATCTCTGAAGAGTTTAATCCAGCTCCTTCTAATCTTAATTTTCACTTCTGCAAAATATACATGCCAGTCAAGTTAGCCTATTCTCTTAAAAAACCCACAACGCTTTATTGGTGTATAATTTGCATACTACAGGATTCACCCACTGGAAATGTACCATATAATAAATTTGAATGTATTTATAGAGTTGTGCAAACACCACTCCATTCTAGTTTTAGAACATTACCATTACCCCCCACAGCCCCACTGTGCCCACTTACACTTAAGCTATCCCCTCTTCTACCACTAACACCAAGAAACTGCTAATCTACTGTTTGTCTTTTTTAAGTTTGCCTTTTTTTGATATTTAGTATAATTAAAATCATACAACAAGTAGTCTTTTGGATCTGAGTTCTTTTACTTAACATAATATTGTTGAGGTTCATCCATGTTGTAGAACATGGCAGGAGTTTGTTCCTATTTATTGCTGAATAGTATTCCATTGTATGGTTGCACCACATTTGTTTTTATTAGTTGGTAGATACATGGATTGTTTTCAGTTTTGACGAATAAATGAATAATGCTGCTGTGAATATTTATTGCACGTCCCTATGTGAACGTATGTTTTGTTTTCTCTTGGTAGATTATTGGGAGTAGAACTGCAGGGTCATATGGTAAATTTGTACTTAACTTTTTATGATATACTTTTTCCTCAGTGTTATATCATTTTATATTCCCATCAGCAGTATATGAGGGTTCCTTCATCTTCTTCAAGATTTGTCCTTCACTTGATCCTTTTGATCTCCCACTAGTTTCTGGAAAAATAACTTATTTGTCATTTACTCTGGCAGTTACATGTTTGATCTCTCCCTCTCTCTGTTCCTTCCCTTTAGCCTATAAACATGCTGAAGATTATCCTGACACAGACCTGCTTCCTGCAATTTTTATTTGTGTTTCTCTTCTACATGCAACTGATTTTTTCTTTGCTCCTTCTGCACACTTGTCACATCAGAACCTGTCTACCTTTTATTTTCTCATCTTCCACTTTATCTGTCTAGTTTTTAAAAATTTTGTTGAAAACCCCATATAATATGAACTCTATTAACAAATTTTTAAGTATGCAGTTTAGTTTTGTTGACAGTATGCACATTGTTAAATGGCATATCTGTATGATTTTTTTCATTTTGCATGACTGAAACTCTTTACACACTGCACAGGACCTTCCCATTCCACTCCATCCTGCTTCTACCCTTGGGAACCACCATCCTACTTTATTTTTTCTTTTCTTTTCTTTTTTTTTTTTTTCTGAGAGACAGAGAGAGGAAGAGAGTGAGAGAGAAAGAGAGAGAGAGAGAGAGCAAGCAAGCGAACGTGAGCAGAGGAAGGTCAGAGAGACAGGGAGACACAGAATCTGAAACAGGCTCCAGGCTCTGAGCTAGCTGTCAGCACAGAGCCCGACGCGGGGCTCGAACTCACAAGCTGTGAGATTATGCCCTGAGCCGAAGTTGGACACTTAACCGACTGAGCCATGCAGGCACCCCTCAACTTTCGCTTCCATGAGTTTGATTACTTTAGATATCTCATATAAATGGAATCACGTAGTACTTGTCCTTCTGTGTTTAGCTTAATTCACTTAGCATAATTTCCTCAAAGTTCATCCATGTTGTTGCAAATGGCAGAATTTCCTTTTTTTAATGGCTGAATAATATTACATTGTATATACATATAACAAATTTTCTTTATCCATTCATCTGTTCACAGACATTTAGATTGTTTCCACATCTTGGCTACTGTGAATAATGCTGCAATGAATATAGGAGTGCAGATATCTCTTTGAAATCATGATTTAAATTATTTTGGATACTTAAAAGTAAGACTACTGGATCATATTGTAGTTTTATTTTAAATCTTTTGAGGAACCTCCATAGTGTTTTCCATAATGGTTGTACCATTTTACATCTGACCAAAGTATACAAGTATTCCAATTTCTCTACACCCTTGCCAACATAATTTCTTTTTTCCTTTTTGGTAATGGCCCTCCTAATGGTTGTTATTATCAGATCGTAGGAGTTCCTTATATATTTTGGATATTAACTCCTTGCTTATATATATTTTTTCTTCCACTCCATAGGTTGCATTTTCACTCTGTTGATTGTTTCCTTTGCTGTGAAGAAGCTTTGCCATTTGATGTAGTCCTACACGTTTATTTTTGCTTTTGTTAGCCTATGCTATTGGTGTCATATCCAGGAAATCATTGCCACGACCAGTGTTATAATAGGGAATACATTGACTCTGTAGATTGCTTTGGGTAGTATGGACATTTTAACAATATTAAGTCTCCTAATCCATGAACATGGGATATATTTCCAATTATTTCTGTCTTTAATTATCCATCCACTTTTAATGTGGTTTTTGCCTCTACTACTATTGCCTCTGACCTGCTGATATGTTAAATATTATTTTGGTCATGGTCTTCCTACCATGTTTAGCTTTGTTGTCTAGTCTTACTTTTTTGAAAACATTCCTGGCTGCCGTAAATGTATAGCCAATCATACATCTGTTTCTTTGCCCTCCTCATTGGCTACTCTTCCTTTTCCTACCTTTAAATGTTGATGTACCAGCTGACCTGCTGCTCTTCTCTCTTCACATGGTCTGTCCGGATGATTTCCATATGATTCATATGTTCCTTTATGGGACATTTTACTGTTTACTCATGTTTAAATTCCTATGTTAGACACTGTAAGAGGAGAAGTGATAAAAATTAACCAGAGATAGTCTTTACCTATTTCCATAATCAATTAATATATATTTCAACTATATTATCCCATCTCATCATATAAAAAATGTTCATAATTCATTTAATATCTTGCACATACCACTGATGAGTCATGACTCATTGTTTGGGAAGCATTGAGGATAGAATAGAAAACAGGTCTGAGGACTGAGCTTGGTGGTCTTCCAACATTTAAAGCCCTGTAGGTATTGCCCACCCGTCCAGTGAATGGTCTAAACAAAATACTATTTAAAATTCTTTTGCCTACCTTAAAAAATACATATAATCTGACTTCTTTCTTTAGTTGGATTTTGGGGTACTATTTTCTGTTTTGTTTCTTTTCCTGATTTGTAATAGGTATGCTTATTCCTAATTTACTGGTTCTAGAGGTTTAGCAAACAGGTTGCCAGTTTGTTTGGTATATATATTAAGAAAATTGAATGTTAAACAGAGGCCTAAACTTCTTGTTAGTGCTTTATGTGAATTTGTTTTAGGACATGGGCTTTTAGACACGGACTCTATTTTGGGAGTTCAGGCATATTTTCCTCTGACTCTGTCCACTATCCCCTCATAATTTTTTTTAAAGATTTTATTTGTTTTAACTTATCTCTATACCCAACGTGGGTCTCAAACTTACAGCCTCGAGATCAAGAGTCACATGCTCCACTGACCGACCCAGCCAGGTGCCCCCTCCTTCCATAATTCTTATTATTGTTTTGGATGGATGAAATTACTAGAAAATTGAGATCCAGATAGCTGACATTTTACTGAATGTACACACATTCATAAACATCTATATACATACACACATTCTTTCAGCTTGTTGCAAAGTTTTCATTCAGAAAATAAACTGAAAGCAATTTCAGTGATACTTCACTACTATCATAATGATATTCTTTGCTGGTTCTGAATAAATAAATATCACTTGCCCTAAAGTTCTAGTCAGAAAAAATTGTATGCTGTGTTAAATAATATAGCATTAATATCAAATTTGATATTTGATTTAGTTGACATGGGATGAAATAAGTTATGACAACCTAGAGCTACATGTATATATATTCTATACTAACCAAGTTTCCCACTTTTGAAAATTTCTTCTTCCATTTATGAAGAGTTCCTACTGATAATGAATTGAATCTTTTCCTCCTTGAAGCTGCTCTTATTTCGGAAGTTTCCCTTGAAATAAGAGAGTCAGGTACATAAAAAATCTGGCTCAGAATATCTGAATTGCTTTTAAGCTTCAGGCAAGCTAAAGGCAATATTTGATGATGAAGCTGTTTTTTGTTTATTTGTAATTTTTGAGTAGAGTGAAGGGATATAGAGAGTGCCTTTGACATTTGTCTGATTTAGGTAGTTCAAAATATCACATATTTAAAAGAAGACTTGTGTTGGCACATTTTTAATATAGAAAAGAAGATAAAATTATATAGGAGGTTAAATCTGAGTTGTGCACATGTGGAAGTGAACCACAGAAGAATTTAAAATTTTCCTTTTTTTTTTTTTTTTTTTTTGCCTTATATACCTCTAGTATAATGCAGGCCCTATGTATACATAAGGGAATAATTA